AACAGTTTAGGTGAAACAGCACTTGAGAGATAAAATAATGGCACAGCAATGCACACTTTAATGACTAATTACAACCTTTATTATAGAAACACCAATAATAGAAAAATAAAGAGCATATCTTACTTCTCATAACAAATTATTTTTAGCAACCGTCTATTATAGCAAGCTAGAAGTGATCAATCAAACCATCTTCATACACTCAAGATGCTACACTACATCTCCCTTCCTCTTTGAACCAGAATTAACAGTTGGTTTTTAATTTTAACTTTGTCCATAAGAAAGCAAAAAGGACTGAAAGGAATTAAATCGTGCTTTATAAACTCCTTAGCAATTTGGCCAAATATGATATCATCATGCTCATGGGATACCCTTGTGTCTGCCTTGGGTGTGCAAGGGACCATGGTGAATGGTCTAGGGTGCGATCTGCAGCAGGGCATCAGGGAGCTATAGGGATGTGCTCACCTCCTAATTTCTGTGAGTGGCCCCACTGTATCCTGACCAGCACATTCTTGCAAGCAAGTTAAGCATAGCTTCCCTGATGGGACGCATCATGTCATCATGATCAATATCTTCTGGTTCAGAGATGGGTTGATCTGAGTCCGCAGCTGGGGGAAAAAGTGAGCTGGGGCTGCTGAGACCAACATTGCTGGTCCCTCTGGGACGCAGCTGCAACCTTGTCGCCTCCCACAGCAGACTGCTCTTTTCTCAGCTCTCTGGGTACATGAGCTCCTGCTGACTGTGTGAAGGTTTTTGAAATGCAAAATTTTGGGGCAGATTGGTTGGTAAGCCCCTGTCCCAAGTAGTGAGCAGGTTGCTGGACAAAGGTCTGACTACAGCAAAGAGCAGCCCTGGAAGGGAAGCGATCTGCCAGGCTTAGAAAATACTGTTTTCATTTACATCCATGTCAACAGAAAGAAAACTGTGCAGTGCTGCCCATGGTATAACTATTATGGCCCACCTAATGTACAACTAGTTTACCATAAGAGCCTCTTCCTTGTATGGTGCTCTTTTAGGGACTTTTTGCTCAAAATCTGAGTTACCTCAGACACGATGTTTAAAAGAGAAAGTCTGGCAACCAAGACCAATTACACCTATAGAGTCTTCCCTCTGGGAGGAGGACAACAAAGCAACTCCATTAGGTAAAAAAGTGCCAGCCAAATAACTACCTACATTCTGGCAGAAAAGAAATACAGGCATCAGCTTTAAAAGCTGCACATGGCAACTCGAGGAGCAGCTGGCCTGTCTAATTCTAATTCAGCATTAAATTCAGAGAGGCAACACTCCCTGCTCTGCTGGCATGCTGACACGCATCCCTGCTGCAGGCTGTTGCTGTGTTTTGTGGTCAGGGAAGGAGGTGACGGCATGCCGGCTGGGCTGCAGGTGGGAGAAAGGTTGCACTTAGGGGCTGGGATCTCCTGGTGCAGTAAGGAATTCTCCAATGGATCCTCTACTACTGTGAAGCACTAACTCCGTTGGATTAATTTTGCTGCATGTTGGCAGCATTTCACGGGAGCATCCAATTGTTTCATTGGTTTGTACCACGTGCACTTCAACTGTGCCGTTTACAGCAAGTCCAGAGTCTTATTCATCCAGAAAGGGAAGTATGCATCTTCATAAAAATAGCAAACAAATAATAGCAATAAAAAGCATAACAACAAATCAAGTAAACCTGAATCCAAACATTGTTCAATACCAACAGTTTAATTCACTGTAGAAAGAAAAAATTGTGGGGAAAAAAACATTAACCTTGCATCATTGGTAAAAATTCCACAGGGTTTCACAAGATTAAACATAGAATTATCAATCACTAAGAACAGTTTTCTCTCCTCATGTTGATATCAAACGTTAGAAGACTGAATATTAACATAAAGAGATTTTTCAGTACAGAAAATAACAAGAAAATGCTATATCCATGTCAGTAGAAGTAACAAACTACAGATCATGCAACCCAACAATCCAAAGAACATGTGAAACAGAACTTAGTTTTGAATGGGAAAGATGCCTACTGATCACTAGTCAGAATGGCTTAGGGTCAGATCATGTGTGGTGCTGAGCCTTTTAGGCAGTGTTTGTTGTTAAAATGTCCACATGTAATGGTTTGGGACAATAACATCGCTATTGTATCCATAAGCTCATTTTCAAATGGAAGCTCTTCCATATATCTACCTTTCCTGCTGGACATCTCATCAATTCTTCTGTTTTTAAAAAAAAATGCTTTAATCGAGTATGAAAATCTGCTTTCTAAACACCAGATTAATAGTATTAACTAGAACTAGAGTATTAACTGAGAACTAGAGGGATCTTACTGAGCCAAGGGCCTGAACAACGCCATGGAGTTCAATGGGCTGCTTGTCCACTATCCAGGGGGAGGGAGAAAGGGTGAAAATATGCAAGATAAAGTTCACTAAGCAATATTAACACTAAGCCTTTTACAAAACAATAATTGAAATACTCAAATTTCAGTCTGAATATTCAACTGAATACAGTTCAAATCACTGTATCTGTATTAAAGGTTTGAAAGTCTGGTATTCTGTTTCTTGTGCTACTTTACCTTATAATCGTATTCAGCTGCCTTCCTTGCTCACAGCTGGCTCTGACTTCTGTCTTAAGTTTCTCAAAGTGCAAAAATGCTTCAAAATTGTCTTTATCTTTCTTATTTATTGGTTTGTTCAGACTCAAAGGGAACATTTCTGGAGACTGTTAATTACTTCCACAGCTGCGTAATATGTCAATTATGGAACAGTATGACCATGTTTCCTGCTTGACACAGACCAGCGTCTTCTAGTAACTCATGGAATGGAAGGATTTATTTTCTTTCTTAATTTAAATAAGTAAACTCTCAATGGTTAAATACTAGTAAAATATCAAAACTATTTTAAAAATACTTAAGGGAAATTAAACTGACAAGATATTATTATGACTTTTACCCAGTGAAAATCCAGTGAGGTTCCATCACCGTTAATAATTGCTCAGGAGTTGGGCCATCATTAATGGACACTAAATTATCTCCCAGCATTTCTATTTTGTTGAGATCCAGATTAAACTAACACCAAGGAATTTTTGCAGATGACTTCAGCTTTTCTTTTGTTTAATGGGTGCCATTCCACAGTCCTTTTCCACGCAAAACTTTTAGTGGTAGAATTTAAGCCATTACCCTAACTCCTAAGGGAGAAGTGTGCTTTTATATAATATTATTTTCTCTTTTGTAGATGCTTATCTGTGTATATATATAATTTCTTATCATTTTGGTGTCACATTTGCTGCAATGAACAGATTTGTGTCTGGGTGTGGGTGTGTATGCGCATATTTGTGCATATGTTTAGCTTTGTAAATCTTGGGTGACAAGGAGATTTTCCTTCTTACAACAAAGCACATTAGCTGAACTTAATCTCAAAAGCAATTACTACTTTCATGCCTTCATCATTGGCTTAGCAGGAAACAGACTACAGAGTGATACAATTAGTGTGCTTTAAAGTAACTCCAAATTATTTCCATATGAAAATCCAGCTGCTCAGCTGTAAGCACAATGGATAGCATTCACTTTTGGGCAGAGAGTTTGTCCAAGGCCTGTGCAAGCTTTTATTTCCCACAGAAGCCTTGAACATACATACAGCATCAGTGGATTTCCATTTGCTCATGGACCTTGTGCAGGTCGGCCACAATTGTGGCCACTTAATCCCTGGCATATTCAGTGACTTCCCAGTTTAAGAGAGATCACAGTAGAGGGACAGATACTGAGTTCAGTGGTGGTCGCTGTAACAGGTCCATGTCTGAATAGGAGGTGGGTGATCCATGAGCTCTCACAAGACCACGAAATATTAAGCTTCTTGAATTTATCAAGCAAATTCACCCCAGTCTCCATCTATCGCACTGGCCACCTTAGCATCGGCCCATGCATGGCGGTGCTTTCAGAGCCTCACGTTCGCTTTCTCCACGTTGTGTTGCAAAGATGGGGTGAAGGGATGCTGTGCCTTGAGCAGCGATTGGCACGTGGGGTGGCTTGGCCTGGTGTGGCAGATGGATGGAGTCACTGCCTCCAAGCGCTTGCGCAGTTCTGCTGCACAGACATCTCTGCTGCCTGTCAGTCACCTCCTGAATTATGCAGTTTGCAGCATAACACTTCACGATAAACGTACCAACATCACTTTGCTCTAATGCGCTGTGCTTCATGAGGCTGCAGTTCAAGAATTATTGGCAAGAAGTTGAGATATCTTTGCAGCAGGGCTGAGACAAGCAATGACAAGTGATAATTTTGGCGCATGCTGGTCAGGCAGACCCTGGATGACCTCAGTTGGGTAATCTTCTCTTATTTGCATACACAGTCACTGGAAACCAGAAAATTTTCTAAAAATACTGCCTCCAGAGTAAGAGTCACATATTAGCACTGCGTCCTTCTGAAGGGCTTTGTAGGAAAAAATCAAGAACTTACAAAGTGTAACCCTGTTACAGGACTGGTAAGAACTTCCTTGTGAATGGAAGTCACACTCACACTTGCGTGAGACTTCAGCATACACAGAGCTCCCACAAGGCTTTCACTGAGCTCTGATTTAACAGGGTTGTCTGTAGCTGTGGACCTCTGCTTTATTCACTTGAAGGCTGTATTACTACAGTCATCTGTTTTAATAAATCTAAACACTATCTTTAACAAACATGATGGAATTTCTGGGCGATAGTGATATTGCTCGTTTTAAGCTATTTTTAGGCATCTGACTTAGGTGATCTGAATTGCCTCCTTTATTGATAATATAAAGAATTTAGGCTCCTTACTTTGGTCTTCTGGAGTAGATCTAAATTAGATGCTAAGAATAGCCTAAAGTAGATGGTATGAGTTCTCTCCTTCCCACCTTAAAGAAATCACTTCCAGAAATATTCATTAGCTTTAAACATACAGTGTCATCTCACTTAAAAATGTGTCTTCAGGGCAGTGAGATTGCCAGGTAGAAGCTAAAACTCCTGTGACTTCTCTACTTGCTACATACATCTGGAAGTGCAAGGGCATCTCAGATACGTTCATATCCTCTATGCGGCTTTCTTCTGGAAAGCAGGAAAGTGGCAAACACAATGACAAACAATCCCAGAATACTCAGGCCCACCGCAATGGGAGCTGCTTTGCTGTTTTTATCAGGAAAACATTCTTCTTCTGAAAGTAAAAGGAGATCAGAGAATGTGTTATAGCAGAACACACTCCTAAACTATACCTCTATATTCCAGAAAAGTTAGCAAATACAAGCCAGAAGTTCTCAAAACCTTGATTTCTTTTTTTTTTTTTTTCTGAGCTATACTTATTACATTTTTGTCTGTGGTGAACTTTACCTCAAGAAAACAATACTTGCCCTTTCGAAATAGCTACATGCTTCACTGGAGAATGACTCTGCTCTTTCATGTCCGCAGTAATTGTTTTACCATCAAGAGCAGTACATACACAGTAGGAGGCTTTCATGCTGATAGCAGATGCGGACCATCTCACTACAAAGTGCACATCTGAAAATAAAGAGCAGGACACATCCTGCATGGACAAAAACTGCTCCTATGTGGCATCTAATTGCGTCTGCCCAGTAAAAAGAATCAGGCCAGAGAAGGGAACCCATAGTCCAGCACATCATTAGCACAGCAGGGATCCTAGTTAAGTCAGTGTTTCCTAAGAAAAATCAAATTCTAATTGTTCTCTGTGTTTAATTCAGAATAGTTGTTGATAATTGTGGCTAACAGAACATCAAGAGATTAGGAAGGCACAAGCCTTGGACTTAGTCCAGGGTGTTGTTTTAGAAGTACTGTTGTCATTTTATTCTACGTATGATGATATCAGAGAAGGTTTTCACACAAATGTCTTTTAAGAAGCATCCAAAGATTATATTCACTCCAGACATACCTCTTAGCTACAGAGGGGGCAAATCCTGACTTCCTTAGCCAGTCCCTATCCAAATAAATATTCAAGTAATTCTCTGATTAAATGGAAACTCACTACTTAAAAATGAACTTCCAGATTGGGGTAAATTGGTGGCTTTCCTGTGGAGAGACTGCACCATCGGAGTCACTGACATAAATGGAGTATTTACCCAAGTAACAATGGCAAGATCTGTCTCAAATTTACAGTACAACAAGTGTAGCCCTGGGAGTGAAGGCAAGGTCTGGGAATGATCACTAACATGTTATCCCAGAACTGGATCAGACCTACATCTTCCATCTGATCTATAGGAATCGTCCTTCCTCAGGCTCCAGGGAAAGAAAGGCTTCTAGCATGATGCTTTGAGCAGCACCTGAGTAGCAAACTGTCCTTTAGGTAGGGTAGCTTGATCAGCTAAACCCCACAGTATATTCCAGCTCAGCAGTGAATCCAGTTTATACCCAAGGTATGAGGGAGACCCAACACCCTCCGCCCCTTTCGCGCCCTGTGACTATTCCAAGACAGATTTTGACAGTGCTCTAAGACAAAAGCCTTTGTTGTTATTGTCTAATTCTGATGACTGTGCTGGCCCAGATTGTGGCTTAGTTTGGGCTTTTCCCCAATGGGAATCTTTACGCCGACAGTGGGCAGTTAGCCCAGGGAGCATGTGGAGTGCATGACATCGTGTCACAGCTCCAGAGCCTCCACATGGCCCTCCCCAAAATCCGATCCTCTTCTCTTCTGATCCAGATGGTGATTTCATGTGGTGCAATGCCACAAAGCCAAAGGCATCAGCATTCTGCTAGATGCTGCCTTTTAAAAGCTTTGTCTGGTTAATGTAACCTGCTGTTAAGGAATTGAGCTGAAAAGTATTTGCATTTGAGTATTGCAAAAGCCAGAGCTGTTTGAATTGGCCATTTTGCTTTGACAAAACCTTGGGCTGTGAACTCTAGGAGTTGCTTCTGATATACTGAAGTGCACTTCAGAAGACACTTTTACAGCTTTCCAGACTCAAACAGGCCAAGTTATTGATGTAGCGCTGCTGCAGTCTGTACAAAAATTTAAGGAACTTGAAACCATAATCATTAGTGTTTTCTTTTTCTTCCCCTTTTAAAGATAAGCAAATCAGGAGCAACAGAAGTGAAACTACCAGTCTCAAGACACCCGAGGGGAGGAGGCTGGTGATGTGTATAGAGTCATTCCTTCACTGGGGATTTTGTCTTTCAAAATCTGCATACACAGCAGAGGTGCGTAACAGTTTCATAACTGTTTCATGGCCACTGGAGAATTATTCCAGAGGTGGTAGCTGCTTTCTCAGCCCTTTGATTAAGAGCAAAACTAGTTAAATTTTGTATATGGTATTGATTAGCAGAGATTAGCCTGACCTTGGAGAGAGAGAGGGAGAGAGTGTGTATTTCTAAGATCAGTCTCTGCTAGAGGTGAGGCCATACCAAAAGCCATAACTGAACTCATTGTACAAATTTAAATGGGAATGTGGGAACCAGATGGGATCCCATGAGTTCTTCCAGCTCAGTGTTATCCCATGAAAAAAAAATCTTCATGAGAATGAGAGCATAGATTGGATTCTCAGTTTGACTTTTAAGAACTTAAAGTATGCAAAAAAAAAGGTCCATGTCTTAAAAAAGCCCCAAATGTTGTTTCCCGTTATATTGCTTTTAGAATAAGAAAGGCAGCCAAAATGGTGAACTAACAAAACAAGAATCAGTTGAACATAGCCAAACTGAGTCAAAAGACAGATCTGAATTAAAAAGAAGAATACAGGGGCAATATTTTGTAAGTATGCAGGAAGTCAAATGTCAGAAGAAGAGAATGTTTCATTAGCACATCTGAAGGGCTGGAGAGCTGATAAGCTTATCTGTCCACCTGAGTTCTTGTATGGAAACACCCGAAGAGAAAGTCACAGAAATGTGAAGACATACAATTTGAAAGAGACCACAGGGTCCCATCTAGTTCACTTCTCTGTTTTTTGTAGGGTCTTTCATGCATCTCATAAGAAGTAAGGCAGTCAACCATGAGAGTGTCTGTACTGTGGGACACAGGAGTTTCCTGGTGCACCCAGCAGTCCTGAACCCCACGTCCTGGCCAGGTCCTGGCTGCATTGCTGGGCAAGAAACAGGGATGACAATATCTCATTTCCCTGGGGAGGGAACCCCAGGTGTGGGGGTAGGGAAGAAGTTGTGATGAGCCCCAATACATTCTCCCAGTGTGGGCAATCCACAGACCAGGACAGCCAGTACTGGTCTATCTCTGTCTTTTACTAACCTACATGGTTGCCTTTTTGTAGCTGTACTCAAGAAAAGACAAATTGCAGAGATGAGATCACATTTAATTCTGAAACTGGGAACATGCCAATCGTACTCTTCCTCAGGAGCACGTTTCATCATGTCTAGACACAGCTGCTCTGAAAGTATCATCCTGCATTCACAAATATCCCTTATTAGTTGGCAGTTTTCCTGCTGCAGCTGTGGGACATCATGAGTGTCAAAACCCTTTCAAAACAGCTAAAATCCAACTGTAACGAGAACAGTGACCTTGAACTGAACTGTACGTATTAGGGGTTTGGGCGATGTCATGGTGGTGAACACACCTCCACTTGCTCTGGGAGAAAATGGGTGAAGAATAAACTTGTGGCTGTAGAGCTGAACATTTTTCATTAGAAGGTAAAACAGAAGGTACTGAATGCAGGAGGGAACGATACTTTTCCATCTTCCATAGGTGTTAGCACTGTGTTGAAAATGAACTCAGAAAAGGGTGAGAATACAGCAGCGGGCAGCTTACATTATTTTGGAACTATTACAAAGCTGAGATTGTGCTATAGGTGTAGCTGGATCCCCGCATGTGTATGGTTATAGCCTAGCAGATGGTGTCTATCAGGCTACCAGAGCAGTGACATGTAGATCTTGGAAGGGTGGAAAAGGTACCCTTCTGCTTACCTTTTCCAAACTGGTTACCAACAATATCAAACGCCTGCAGCTGCATGTTAACAAAGAGTAGCTGGAAGTTCTTCTCCAAGCCGAAGGTTTGCTTGCTGGCACACTTAAAGGAATTCCCCAGCTTTGTAGTAAACAGCTTCTCATGTATGGCTCCATAGTAAAGCATACCTGGAGGCCGTAAAGAGAGAGACAAATGAGAATCCATGCGAAGTCTGTTGGAACCAACATCTTTCTGAGATAAAATGGAGGATCCTTGATGATTTGGCAGAGCAGCAGGCACAGGGATGACTAAGGCCTGGACATTTTCCCCATAATATATCAGTTACATTTCTTCCACGTTTAAATGAGTGCTTTAATTATCAATAGGCAGCTCAGCTGAGCTTGGGTCTGAAAAAGTGGCTAAAATTTCAGATGCTTCTTCAAATCATAGTTTGACAACCTGAGTCTGGAAGAGGGGTTAGGATTCTCACAGGAGCAGACAACTGTCTTAGGTGTCTCACACAGCTATTTCCAGACGAACGAGAGATACCACCTCTACCATTGGAATTTGGCATATCTAGTCTGTATTGCTTTACGTATTAAATATGTTTTTAAACATATTTCAGTGTCACAGTACTTTATGGAAAATATGGATCAAGTTCAAAGAAGATGAAAAGATCTTGTAATCTGGGTATATCCTTTATGCTTATCCTCCTTTGAAAACAGATATACCAGTTTAAGACAAAATCATCCACGTCATCAACTCTGCATCACTGTATCTCAACCACATCTGCCAGCACAATAGTATGAAGCATACTCTTGGTCCTCTTCAGTCAAAATCAGTACACCAGTGTGTACTGGTACGGTTAATTCAGTAATTTTTATCTTTGAAAAGATACAGGCTTGCACACCGCGAAAGTACTGCTGGTGGACTGTGAAATGGCAACATCTGGCAGAGGTAGTAAGAAACAGCCAGGGATAGCAATGTCTTTTGCCAGCACCGCTGTGGAGGATTTAATTTTTATCTTTGAAAAGATACAGGCTTGCACACCGCGAAAGTACTGCTGGTGGACTGTGAAATGGCAACATCTGGCAGAGAGGCAGCAAGAAACAGCCAGGGATAGCAATGTCTCTTGCCAGCACCGCTATGGAGGATTCAAACTATATTTGAGGATTTTAAATCTTATCATTAAGCTGATCAGTTTGTATTTGCTGCAATTTGCACCTAGCAATGCACATGAAAATTCTGGTCATTTAGACTGAGAACATCCCCAGGATATGTCTTCTGGATCAGCTTTTCTTTCACTTTAGTTGCTGTAGGTCAGAATAGACTCCACTTAAGTTAGTAGAAGGGCTCATCAGTGAGAAGAAAATAGGCACTGAGCTTCCAAAAAGCTCAACCAGGTGTGTCCTAACAGCACCGAGCTTCCAAAAACCTCAGTGCTATTAGGACACACCTGGTTGAGCTTCTGATCTATTTTTCTTCTTTCAGGGGCAAAGGTCAATCCAAATACTTACAAGTAACAATCAGAGAATTGTTATAATATAGCCATTAACCTGTCACAGATTTGATATATTGGCAAGAATTTGTGCAAAATTAATGCCAGAGAAAATCTGAAGTGGTGGCTTAGAATTTTTCACTCTGACCTAAATTATGTTCTCTTAGCATTTCTTGGGATGTAGCATCTGGGGCAGCTCCTGACTGTTCCAATGGTGAGAAGCAGGGCTATATGGGAAAAAGAAAATCAGATTGCCCGAGAAGAGCACAGACAAGGACTAGGTTTTCAGGATGGTTTGAAGAATCTCATCCTGGGTCCAGTTCTTATTTTTGCCAAACCAAAATGTCAGACACGCCTCCTCCCCATACTGTGTATTTGACATCTGGATCCAGCTCTGCATTTCTGTGATCCAGATACTGTACTAATTTAGTTTGCTTTTTAGATTGGAAAGATGCATGCAACTGAACTGGAGTCACAGCACGTTTGCATGTTTGTGTGTTTGCATCTAAAAACTTTGAGGATTGTTTTCTATGTTAAATTTGGTTTGAAGTAATCTCTGTTCTGAAAGAGGTGGGGCAGGGAAAGTTTTTGAGGACAAAAGGAAAATTGTACAATTCTGATGAAACTGCAGCCTGGTCCCTCCTCTTCCATTTTCATACCAGAAGGTTTAGGTGAATGACATGTTGAAAGCCTGATAAAACACATAGTTTGCAAAATCCAGTGTTTTAAAGATATGAAAGCCTATCCCCCACCCGAAACAGTTTGATATTAAATTAAAACAGTGTAAAATCACTGACCTTCAGAAGATAACTGTAATCTGGTCTCAATTTTACTGACGTAGTACATCGGAGCTTGCTGCAAAAGAGGATATATCTTTATTCATAATACATCCTCATATTTGTGAAAAAAATACTGTTCACCACAACAAAATGGTCACAAAGGATTTCCAAAAAAACCCACATTTTAAAGGATCACCTTCAAGACCCAAGAACCAACTTGCTTCGATGTAGTGCTTTTTCTTTTCCAAATCACTCCATCTAAGATGGAAGCTGGTGTAATGCAGCAATCTCAGCTGCATCACCGATTCTGCTCAGTTCAGTGAAACTGGACCATGCAGGTGTCATTTTTCACACACTGCTCAAGCTAGACGTTTGTGTGATACTTGTGGTAACCAAAAGTAGGAGGGAGTTAAGCAAAGAGTATACATTGCACAAAGTAACAGGCATGTGATAAGGCGTTTTATTTTTATTCACCTGTTCTGCTTTCATTGAGAGTCTCTACAGTGCTCTCTTGAGTAATCCTGCGCTGAATTAATCCATGCTGACTTGCAGTTTGACTGCTTGCAGAACCTAAGCCAACACCTTTCAAAGTACTCGGGACCCTTGGCACCACAGTGCACTTCATGCATGGACACCCTTCGGGTGAGCAAACTGCAGAAAGCAGCAGTGCTTCTGTGTTCAGCGTCGGTTTTGAACTGGGAGAGGTCAGCACCAAGCTGAGAGCTGGGAGCTCATCTCATCCTCATACCACTCGGTTCCTATTTTGTCAGCCAACAGCAGTCACTACAAACGAGGAAACAGCAACCTGGATGTGTAGGGGACAAATAACTGTTCTTTCCACCCTGCTGACCCTGTTGGTCTGGCTGGCTTTTTTTCATATGCCTGCAGACTGCTGACATGGAAAGCACCTGGTACAACAGCATAGAGCACAAGGTCCAGCTGAGTGTCCTGCACGTGCCCTAAAACCCCAGTGCAACCCGAATGCTGTCCTTCTCTAGCCTGTCACAAAGTGAGAGCCAGCCCTAGGAGCTTTTCCCTGGTAGCAGTGCTGGAGTATAATGTGAGTCGTTATGTAGCAGCCCTACTATTCATTTTAATTCCAGCTGTGAGCACCCAGGGACTGGTGAGTACAGCTGGTGGATAAATGGCAGCAGACATGAACGTCTCATGTGCACCCAGTTTTAAAGTTATGCAGTTTAAAAGCTGGCAGGATGGATTGGGAAAGTTTAAAAAATAAATGCACTAGAGAAGAGGTTCTCAGCATTATTCCTACTTAAAGACATAAGTAGGTCAAATCTTACCATTTTCTTGGCAGCAGTGCTATGTTCTATGTTCTGTTTGGTCACAGTTAATAACTTCACTTGGGGTAAACACCTGCTCCTACTTCACATCTTGTGGGCTGGTTACAAAACTTCCTTTTTTCAAGTTCTTTCCAAAAGGCAGTTGGCAGCTGTGGGTCCTGAGCCAGCCCCTCGCCTCCCGCTACCCCGCACCAGAACCGCAGCCCGGGGGCCAGCTCCTCTTTCACCGGTGAAGGTCAGAAGTGCCAGCCCTGAAGCACTCCTCCTTCAAAGCAGTTAGAGAGGATGTGGGGGCCAAACACAGAAAAACCAGCAGCAAAATGATTTCTTATTAACTTGAATTTCAAAGACGTCTAAGCCGAGCCCTGCAATGCTCTTGAGGCTTATCTTTAAGTGAAGGGCGGATTGTCTAGTGCTGTGCCCATAACCACCTTTTTTGGGGCAAGACAGGTCAAGTACCTCCTAAAAGTTCACAGCACTCTCCTTAGTGCTGCTACAAGCTGGGGCTTTCATGGGCACTTGAATCACCAGACTTTTTCTAAGGATCCTTGTAGCACAGACAATGCTCCCCTTGTTGCTGGAATCATACATTTAAAGCAAACACTCATGGTCTGAACTGATCCTTTGTTTTAAAACAGCTCCTTGATTTTTTACCTCACTTTTCCTCTGTAGCTTTTAGAAAACTTTCTGCCATAAACTCAAATCAAGATGATTATTAATTGAAATCTTTTCTCTGCTCAAGCATTAATGACTCAGGTGTGGTATAATTTGCTGTTGCCTCTTGCACTTTCTATGGAAATGACTGATTAACCATTTGTACTTTTCTTAATTGTCACTAATTTGAGCTTGGAACCAGGCTGTAAGATTGACATTTTGGCTTGATTAATTGAAGGACACAGATCAGTGGTGATGGCCAGATGCAGCTCTGAACTGCTATGAAGCTCCAGGACATGGCCTTAATGCATGTTACACTCAGTCAGAGTTTGATGGGATCCAACCCATGCCGTGTTCCTCCCTGCCCGTTAATGATTTTATGCCCAGGATTAACTTCTGTCTTAAGCCCTGCTGGCATCACCACCCAGCCCTTATTAGCTTTCAGATAAATAGTACTGCATGCTGCCTCCCAAAATGTGTAAGCCATGTAAACGTCCGAGGAAGCCAGAGGATGGCTGCACTCAGCAATTTTCTCTCGTGGTTATAATAGCAGCAGCGCTCTTGGTAGCTTATGTTAAAGCCTCATCCACATACGATGCAGTCCTAGTGGGGAACACGGTATCAATAGACACAATGTCAAAAAGAAAGCTCATTTTCCAACTATATAAGCAGCACTTCTCTCTTGCCCAAATTTCTGTGTGTATTTATAAGTCTCCCTGATGTGGTGTATTTTAAGGGCACTTATTTACAATTTTGTTGTTGTAGTTGACTTGTTTGGAATTTTCCACTCAGAAATTGGATGAATTTAGGCCCCTTCAGCTGTGGATGGGCTGTGACTCCTGGGCACTTACAATGGCACAAGTTGCCTTTTGGATTTAACAACCACAGCTGGCTTTTGGCTGGGCAGTTTTGATACTTGGCATTTATGGGAAGCAAACGACTAACCTCACCTGCATTCAGGCGGTCCCTGAGACACCATTTCGTAAGGGCCACAAGGCAGTGTGAGTCAGAGCTCCCGGCACACACACACACCTTGTTCCTGCACAGGCACTCCAGTCCCAAACCCATTCCCTCTGTCCCGCTCCAATGCAAACAGCAGACCTGGCCTTCCCTCCCACTAGATTTTTAGCTCTGTAAAAATGAGACTCAGATTTTTCTTGAGGCTATTTCTAGACTTTGTGTTGCTAGATGGGTTCTCTAGCACTTTCTATCACAGGATAGCAAGGCACTGTACTTAACCTTCATTGCACATACGAACCTTTCCAAATTGAAAGTTCAAATAGGCAAGACCTGATTTGACATCAAAGTTAGCCCTGCACTGAGCAGGAGGTTGGACCAGGTGGCCTCCAAAGGTCTTTTCCAACCGGAATTAATCCATGGTTCTGAGATTCTAGCCTCTTGGGAAGGACAGGAGTAATACTGCCTTATTTCTACCTTACAGGTGGAAAACTAGCATAGTGGATGAAATGCCTTTTCCCACAGCACAAGCTGGATCAAGGGCAGCCTAAGTTCCAGCTCCCCAATCCTAAACACTCTCTCACTCTAAATGCAATAAATACCTTTACAAAGGTGAAGTTTATGAACCCTCCACTGAAAGTGAGGTTCAACTGAGACCGCACCGTCCCACAGCTTCCAGATGTCTGTGTCGCATTGGGGTTGACAGCCATGTACTCCATCCGCTTCTGTGGAGAGAAGAAACATTGCAGGGCTGTTGATGAAGAGGAGGGGGGAAACTTAATAAGAAACACACAGAGATTTATAGCTGTTTTGTTTTTTTTTTTCCCCCAGACAGGCTCTGTGTGGCTGAATGAACAGGCCAGTGGTGGTGGCAGCCTAATTGCTGTCTGCCAGGGTTGTCCCCCCACTTATAAACCAGCACTAGCACTTATCTGACACATCACAGAGCTGTTCCAGTGCATTAGGATGGCAGAAAATAATAGTTTTCTCTTATTTGGTGAACTGATACGATTCAGGGCAGGGTCAGATGAGCACCAGTGGTAATTTAAAAAGAAGGAGCAGTGGAAACTTGTGCCTGAGGGCAGAGGAAAGATCAAGACAGAGGCAGGCAGGGGTTAGATTGGCTTTGACACGTGTTGATCCTCGTATCACTCCAGCCTCCTCATTATGTCCTGCATAGTTCATCTCTAGCATCTGCCAACCCATGTTGTAGTCTGAAAGGAGAGCTCTGCAGCCCTGAATACAGTTTGGCTCCTTCAGTCTCATCTCAAACACATCTTACTTTTGTAATAAACATCTCACAGTGGTCTGGTGAGGTTGGGAATCATGCTCCCTGCCTGGCTTCTGCCAGGACAAGGGATGAAAATTACTTTTACTGACATTAGACACTCATCTCAATATTAGAAATATTCAGACCCCAAACAAAAATCTTTGGATTTGTAATGGGATGGCTCAAGGCATATGAACTCCAGAGCCTGAGGATGAAAGCCCACAGATTGTATTAATGGATGCTACAAAACCACAAATCTGAGGGACATAATCACCACTTTGGGTTTTATGACATCTTTTGCTGAATAATTCACAGTGGATCACTGCTAGGAGAGAGTACCAGCTCCCCAGGACCCCTGCTCTGATCCAGCCTGGCAGTTTCTGTGACCCTAAAATCTCCACGCATCGGCATCAAGACAACCCACCTCTGAATCCAAGTCTGTGAATTGACAATTTCTTGCTTTCATTGCAACTTGTGATGTCAAGCCCTTGACTGAAGTCAATTCAGATTTTAATTAGCCTCCCATTCTGGGAAACACAAATAACGCTGAAGGTTGATCTACCACCACACCCCCTCCCCACCCCGGTATTGCTACCACATGTACATCACTGAAATAAGAAAGCACCCCTACGTCCCACTGACATTATCATACAAGCCAAAGTACAGCAGCTGAGATGCTGTGGCACAGAAAAGGCCTTAGACTGGTAGCAAGCCACTTATTTTTATCATACAAGCTAACTTTGGAAAGTTGCTTTGAAAGAAGAAGAATAAATTCCAGCTAATGAAGAAACAGTCATTACAAAGCTTAGCTTTGTAGTGCTTCCACTCATACAAGCTAACTTTGGAAAGTTGCTTTGAAAGAAGAAGAATAAATTCCAGCTAATGAAGAAACAGCTAAGCTTTGTAATGCTTCCACCTCACCGTCTGTATGTTTTGAGCCATCAGTTGCAAACCCATGACCGCTTTGATGCAGGTCCTGTTCCCATTGGAAACGGTGTATGTGCCAGTGGGGATGGGAGAAGGCTGGGGTGCAAGAGTGGGTCTCATTGTCATCATAGTAGTTGGGAAGGTTGTTTGAGTCCCTGGATGAATGGTTGTTGTGTTGATCATGGCTGTTGGACTTCTAGGCGCTGTTGTTTGATTTCCTGACCCTGTGGTGAGCTTTACAGTTTGCATGGTGATGGCTGTAGTAGTTATGGCAGTAGGTGTCATTTGTGTGTTTGGCGTTGTATGGTTTACAGTTGTGTTTGTGGCTGCCGCTGTCATTTCTGTGCTCACATGTGTTCTGGCTTGCTTGGTTGAGGAGGTAGGGTGTATGGTTGTGTTCTTCATCGCAGGGGTAACCGTTTCCATTGCCTGGGTTGTAGCCTGACCAGCTGCAGTTGTGTTGTCTGCTGATGTTGTGAATACCACCATGGGAGATTTCTGGCTGGTCACTTGTATGGTGGTTGCTCCTGCCTGGGCTGTCGTCTGATGGCCTGGTGCTGTTGTTACCTGGTGCTGGTCTGTTGTCTGCAGAGTTGTTCTATGGCTTATGGGCGTTGTTTTAAGAGAGCTTGTGGTGTTAAAATGAACTGTGATGCCTTGATGGGGTGAAGAATGATAAAGGGAAAGTGGGTGAGAAGAAGTAGCTGTATGGTGGATGGATATGGTTTCTGGAGACAGTTTGATCCCCAGGGCCACTTCAACAAAGCAGGAGGAAAATGCTGCAAAGAAACAAATAAGTCAGTAGTCTAGAAACCTTTACATTTAACGTTTCTGTTGATACCCACAACATAACTGCACTGATTTTGTTATCAAATGGGTGATATGATTTTATTCTGCATTTGGCTCCAGTCGTGATAGAAAAGTGAAAGCAGACATGCTGTAGCACTATCCGTAACTTTTCACAGCTCCTTCAGTCTTCACACCTCTGAATATACCCATTGCAGTGGAATCATGTTGGCTCCCAGCTCCCCACACACTGCTTTTACTGCTGAGGAAGCCAGAGGATGATGGAGGTGTGAGCAAACCTTGCACAATCCCCAGGCAGCACAAGAATTCCTTTGCAGGCAGTAGTACAGCAAGATTTGCTAGAAGCAAATTATCAAGGTCAAAGTAAGATGGAGAGGGTGGTTGGTTACTTACCGACAAAGCATGGGGAAGGAGAACATATTTTGTGTGTGAAGGAAGTGAGGCGGCATAATGGTCTTACAGTGATTCACAATAGTCTGAGAAATTGGTCTGGGAGACAGGGAAATTCCAGATATTTATTTATGACTTCGTTGTAGCCATGCCATCTTGAACCCTGAAGTTCTGCCTCCTGGGATATACCCAAGGGGATGCTCCAAACAGCATCCAGACCAGCCCTCTTAGTGATGGGCTTTCAGCAATGAGAAACAAATTTCAGGGTATAGCATGCAGGGGCATTTTGGACCACATCTGAAAATAGTCACAGCACCAAAATTATGCTTCCATCTTATAACATTTACAGAAACATCTCCCTTGCAGAACTGAAAATATCTAGCTCCTAAATGTAAATAACAAAGTGAAGAAAAAGTGGAAAAAGTACATTGTAGAATAGACGAAGGTCACAAGTCTTTACAGAATCATAGAATGGTTTAGTTGGAAGGGACCTTAAAGATCATCCAGTTCTAACTCCCCTGCCATGGGCTGGGACACCTTCCACTAGACCAGGTCGCTCAAAGCCCCATCCAACCTGGCCTCTTCTGCTCAAGTCTTTGATGGTGAGTATGCAACAAGACTCTGTAAAGACAAGGTCAAGCTAAAAGAAATCATAAATGACTGACATAAATGAATTCCTTGACATGCATGAAGCTTCAGGTATAGTTAAATGCTTTACTGCCTAAATTGGCTGGAGGACAGAGATTAATTCTCCAGTTTGGAGAGAGAAGGGACTCGAAAGTCCAAGACAGCTCATGTTCCTAGCAGTACGGCTCCACAAGGATGCCACAACATGTTGTCTGAGAAGTTTATTGTACGCTGGTTCTTCCAAAGATATTTCTCATAAATCAGTGTCAAAGGTTTGTGGCAGGTAGGTTGCTGAGATTCAGATTTTAGGATCAGTTAAGGCCAGAGGCACATTCAGAGTGGAAATGGCTGAAACGTCACAAGCTCTTCTTCCTTTTATTTATTTATTTTCACTCAGCATGAACAGCGATCTGCAACAATAGCTGAATTCACAACATCTCACCATTTTAGGATACACATAAACTAAATAGGAATAATAAAACCTACTGGGTTTTGAATCAAATTCAAGATCAAAACCAAAGAAATAAGAACAGATGTATAGGTCTGAACCCACACCACAATTTTCCCTTAAAAATGGCTCTGCTAGAGAAGAGCAGAATTGTAGATGTATACTCCATAGTCCTAAAATTGCCTGGGTTTCACCTCTGTGCTGTACAGAATATCCTTGACTGTCAGGGTAGCTGTTATTATCAAAGAAGTGCAACATGATACTGTTGAAAAGCCACAAAAATGACAGGACAGATCCCTCTGATTGTGAATTTCATCAGGAGGCACCTAAAAATGCCGTAATTAATATGATACTTTAGTTCATTTTCTCACTTTCCCCTAGACTTTACCACACACGCTGGCAGAGCTGAAAAGCTCTTACCTCCTTCTCTGTGTGCCGCTGCAAGATCAGAGCAGTTGCCATACACCATCTATAGGTAGCTGCATCTAAGTGTATCGGCACGATAAAAACAAAAAAGAAGAAGCTGCAATTTTCACTCTTTTTTCCCCTATAAGACTGCAGAACAATCCATATTTAAATTTACACGTCTTAAATAGTCAGTACTTCTGACTTTTCAGTTAACAGATTGGTTTCAGTTACTGAGCAGATAACACTTCAGAAATTTGAGGTTCCCAGTCTGGACCTGGAGCCCCCTTTTTCATGCTTTGGTGACAAGTTTCAGTCAATGCCAGCAAAGGAACACCACTGCTCTGCTCCCAGGCATTATGATGGGAAGTGGAGCGCTCAGTGCCGTGATCTGGCTGTGACATTTCTCAGCCTGCCGACCTGTAATGGGGTGGGTGAAAAAAAACTCTTGCTGGGGACTTTTTCCCTTTCTCGTCTAATCACACACTCATGCTGCTCAGCCATCCAGCACATTTGTTCTGCTTTATGCTACCCAGAAGAAATGCTCATATTTAGCTGACTGATTTTGTGTGGACACAAAAACCTGACCCAGCTCCTACAATTGCTGAAAGCACTCTTGCCAGCTCCAGCTGCTTTGGTTTGAGTCCTTGAGGAACTGGAAAAGCACCAAGATTTTCTGAGAGGTTTTGGTACTGTCATAGTTTCCCTCCAACATAGGAGCAGTTTCATAAACCTCCAACCCATCAGACCTTTATCCCTTAAACTCTAATTATGTTTAATTCCCTGTCTGCACAGAAAGACTTGACTTTGTGGCCTTAATAAAATATCACAGCAAATTATTAAAGGAATCATCAAAAATGGATAAGGAGCTGAGGAAACAAGTTCTTTCTGGTCAAAAAGATCCTTGCTGACCACTGAGTTATTAGTGTTACTTCTCGGTCTGATCTTGCTCTCCTTTCGTCTGTAAGGTTTGAGGCTACTTCAGCAGACCCTGGCTATGGAGTGGGTGTGGGAAAGCAGAGCAGGTACAGCAAGGGGTGCTGGTGGTCGAGTCCCTGGGCTATTTCTCTGCTCACTGCGCTGGGAGGTGGACAGGGGTTGTTACTTATGTGATCCCGACGGCAAAACACACTGCAGAAATCCAGCACCCCACCAGCGAACTCAAGCCTTTAGCCGTTACACAGATTAAGTCATGCTCTGTCCTTCTTCACCTGGCAGATTTTGTACGGCTGCAGGTGTTGAGCGATGACTTAACGTGCTGGGACACATCCTTGGCCAGGCTGGCTCCACAGATTTTCACAGAGCAGCATCAAGGATTGAACAGTGACATTGATGTGGTTTGTCATTGAGATAAGCCCCAGCCTGCCTCCTCCAAGCCCCTCACCTCACTCTTGGTTTCCTGATCATGCTCTGCACCTTGCCATGCAGACAAAGGAATGACTCAAGCAATGCTTCCTTAGTTTTTCTTCTGCTTGTCTCACTCAAGACTTTCAGTCAGTTCTGCTGGTCTGGAAAAAACTGCTTCTAATACTATTTTGAGCTGACTCCATGACACAGTCAGAGTTTATGTCACCACAGAGTGCAAGGGAAAATACACAGGAAAACATCAGATTAAGTCTATACGAGCTGCAACTAGACGTAGTTATAGTGATTTCTTAGCAGTGGCACTTTGCTCAAAGAACCCTTAGCACTAGCCACAAAACTAAAGTTTTCAGTCAGTTAGGTGCTGTCCTGAGTGCACGGAAACAAAACTAGCAGAGTCTATCTCATTTTTTTGATAGAAATAATGGAGGATGTTACTCACCACAGGTGAAGGTTAGCAAGATGAACTGCTGTGTGTTCCTCCCCATGGCCAGCACAGCTGCGGGTTTGAGAGATGCTGCTTCTCACCGTGGAGCGAGTGGAAAGGAAACCAGTGTTACCTGGGAACTGAAAAGTTTCACTTGATGCAGGGAGTGCTCAGTCACATGGCTGGAAAGGAGGTGGAGAGAGAGGGGGAGACCAATGCTTCTTGTCTGTGAACTACCACAGAAGGAAATACGTGATGGTTAGGAAAGAAAGTGAAAACAGAAAGGACTGCTGGGCTAACTGGGGGGAGGACAGGCTCTCGCTCTTTGTAGCTCTGCAAGGCTATGTAAAGCTTCATGCATCTCTCGCCAGTTTTGATAACGTGGTGCAGACTGCAGCTGTACCCCAGTGGAGAGTTACAACCTGTAAATCAGTACTTTCTCTGTGTTCTTTAAAAAAATTAGTTTCTATAGGGCCAAATTCTTTCTTTTATGTTAATACACAGAAAGGAGAGGTGTGATCTTAAGCCACCGCTGCAGAGCGCCTACTAAAACCGAGAGAGGGCTGAGCAGAGCCCCAAACGGGCTCTGGTCCCGGTTGGGGGCTGTCAGCAGCCTTTGCTGGCTGGTTCAGTCCCGCTCCAAGGACTGAGCTTGTTGAAGGTAGATCAGCCGGGGTGGCTCGCCATGAGTGTTGCATCCAAACACACTCCTCGGCAAACAGCAACGCCCCATCGATGTCCTGTGAAGTGCCTCCTGCAAACCACACCAAGCTTGGACAGGAGCTGCAGAGACAGGTCCCGGCACGCGTAGCTGCACCCCAGAGATTGGCAACAGGAGAGCGTTACACCCGCTCACATCTGCGGCTGGATTTCCAGCCCTGGGCCTTTGCCATGGGGCCTGCTTGGTGTGGGGGGGCACACAGTCTTCATTTGCTTATACCAATATAGCACTGCAGTAACATGACAAGGCCAGTGACTTGAAAACTCAAGTGAGGGGAAGTTTGCCCCTAGAAATCTGGATACCAGCTGAAATTAGTTCCAATTAATTTTGTTCTCTCTGTATGCATTGTGTTTTTACATTCTCATTTTTACCTGCTTGCCCTTCTACATGATCCACAACATGCATTTGAGTCAATTAGCGCTCCCTAATAAACCACTGGTAGCCAAAGTTGTGCAGGTATCTTGGGGTAACTATAATAAAGTTATTCTACAAACTGCTTGCCTCATGGCTGCAGCATTGACATATACAACTCTCAACTGTCTGTGTGAACCTTTGCACTCTCCTAAGAGTCCCAGGGATTCGGTAACACGACCAAGGGAGAAGGGTAAAGGAAAAAAAACACTGTTTTTTTTGTGACAACACAAAGTTATATTGGACAAATGTGTGGATTTTTTTCAGCTGTGATGATGTGCCTTTACTGATACTAATTTATTCTGAATAGAAAGGAAGTTCATCTGATTTGTTACTTCGTATAGAGACATCAACCACAATGTTTTGTACTAGTTATAATTTTTATAAATTTCAAACAAAGTGTCCTTCTACACAGGTCAGAGTGGCCTAATTACAGGAAGTTCATTTGCACACTTTTTTTCTGGTAATAAATTCATACATTCTGTCTTGACTGGAAAAAAAGGACAGGTAATTCTGTGCTCTTTCCC